TTCAGAGTCCAGAGAGGATCGAGCATGGCCTCACAAAACGCATGTGATCTGAACAGGGACAGTTCCTGACACCAAACAGGGAAAACTTGCAGGGCTGGCCTCTGTAGGTTGGACAGCGTGTTACAACAGGGGAGATAGCCATTGTGGGATACAAAATGAGTCTCTGAAATGCAGGGGTCACCCAGAATCATGGCCGGTGACCTCCTTCTCCAGTCCCTGAGTCAGGCAGCACAACAAACTCTGAGTTTCCCCTGCTCCAGTCTATCTGTCTAAGGGCAGCCTCCAGGGAGCAGGCGAACTCACAAATATGAAAATGGGACCATCTGTCCCACATGACTGTAGCCCTGAGTTATTACTGATATACTTTCAAATACTTGATAAGCTCATGAAACTGAGAAGCTCCTGTAAGGCAAAGGACACTGCCAATAGGACAAAAGAGAATGGGAAAAGATTTTCACCAACATCTGACAGAGGACTAATATTCAAATATAAAGAGAACTCAAGAAACTAGACATCAACAAACCAAATAAACCAATTAAAATTAGATGGGATACAGATTTAAATAAAGAATTCTCAACAGAGGAATCTCAAATGACTGAGAAACAAAGAAATGTTCAACATCCTTAGTCATCAGGGAAATGCAAATCAAAACTACTTTGAGAGTCCATCTTACACCTATCAGAATGGCTAACATAAAAAACACAAGTGACAGCTCATGCTGGTGAGGATGAGGAGCAAAGGAAACCTTCTTGTATTGCTGGTAGGAGTGCAAAATTGTACAGTCACTACGAAAATCAATATGGTGGTTCCCCAGAAAAACTGGGAACGATCTACCTTAAGACCCAGCTATATCATTCTTGGGCATATACACAAAAGATGGTCCATCCTACCACAAAGACACTTACTCAACTATGTTCTTAGTAACTTTATTCATAATAGCCAGAAACTGGAAATCTAGATGTTTCTCAACTGAAAAACAGATAAAGAAAATGTGGTACATTTAAACATTTTACTCCGCTGTTAAAAACAAGGACATCATGAATTTGCAGGTAAATGGATGGAGCTAGAAAAAAATCATCCTGAATGAGGAAACCCAGACCCAGAAAGATAAACATGGTTGTTGTAATTTAAGAAACACCATGAAGAGAAGTCATGACATGCAACAAGACTCACCTAGGAGGCTTATTGAAGGAGGAGAGAGAAAGGGCAGAGAAGGGGGCAGAAACTGGTCCCTGGGGACAAGTGTGACAGAAAAAGGAAGAGAGGGAAGGAGAGAGAGAGAGACAGACAGACAGACAGATAGACAGACAGAGAAAGGGAAACAGACAGAAGGTAGGCAAGACTCACCTTTTAAAGGGGAACACAGCAGATGTGCACAGGAGGTGCTCTTAGTGGCTGCAGCTGAGGACGTGTCCTGTTAGAACCCTAAGGGCAGACCAGTACAGGTGCCTGATACTAACAATGGTATGTATTCACTTAAAAGTGGACATTAGCTGTTAAGTAAAGGATAATCATGCTACAATCCAGAGAGCCAGAGAGGCTAAATAGGGACTCATAGAGACAGAAGTGTCAATCAAAACCCTGTATGGGTCTGAGTTGTGTAGCTTGGTGTTCTTGTGGACTCCCAACAGTGGGAGTGGGGGTGTCTCTGACTCTTTCCTGCACTTGGGACCCTTTTCTTCCTACTAGATTGCCTCGTCCAGCCTTTGTTATTTATTTATTTGTTTGTTTATTTGTTTGTTTGTTTGTTTGTTTTTGATTTTTTGAGACAGGGTTTATCTGTGGTTATTGGGGCCTGTCCTGGAACTAGCTCTTGTAGACCAGGCTGGCCTCGAACTCACAGAGATCCGCCTGCCTCTGCCTCCCGAGTGCTGGGATTAAAGGCGTGCGCCACCACTGCCTGGCTTGTCTAGCCTTGATATAAGGGTTTGTGCCTAGTCTTATTATAACTTGTTATGCCATGTTTAGTTGCTCTCCCTGGGAGGCCTGCTGTTTTTCTGAAGGGAAATGGGACAGTGGATCTGGGGGAGGATGGGGACTGGGAGGAGTGCAGGAAGCAGAAACTGCAGTTGGTGTAATATAATGGAAGAATTTGAAAAAGAAAGAAAAAGGAAAAAGAAATATGAGGCCAGAAAAAGTTAAATAAATAAATAAAACACTTGATAAGGGGCTGGTGAGATGGTTAAGAACCCCTATTGCTCCACGGAGGACCTAAGACAGGAACCCAGCTCCCATAGTGCAGCTCACAAACATCTGTAACTCCAGTTCCAGGAGATCTAGCGCCCTTTTCTGACTTCTGAGGGCACCAGACATGCTCATGATGCACGGACACACATGCAGGCAAAACACTCCACTCATACACATAAAATAAAATAATCTAAAAGTACATTTGAAAAAGAACTTGGAGCCAGGTGGTGGTAGAGCACGCCTTTAATCCCAGCACTTGGGAGACAAAGGCAGGCGGATCTCTGTGAGTTCAAGGCCAGCCTGGTCTACAGAGTGAGTTCCAGCACAGCCAGGACTGTTCCAAAGAGAAACTCTGTCTCAGGCAAAAAAAAAA